TTTTTCAGTTTTATTTTTTCTGTTGCTGTTTTCTTCCACTTCCTTTATTTTCTTCCACAGTTCCTCGTCACTTTGAAAATCTCCACAGCTGTAAACTTTCTTAGGCAGCTTTTGTCAGTAGTTTTCAATAGGATTTAAGCCTGGTGAACGTGGTGGACACTCCACCAATACCATTAATGTTCGTTTCTCGAAAACCAGCTTTAGTCTATCGAGACGCATGGTAAAGGGCATTGTCATGTAAAAAATATGTTTCTCCACTTGGAAAAACATATTTAAGCCATAGTTGTACGTTTTCTGAGATAAATTTTACATCATACTCACAGTTCATCTGCTAGTGGACTCGCAACAAAAGTGAACTTCCAGATGCAGTTATTGCTTCCCAATCCCTATCCTTCCACATTCTACAAAGGAATATTCATTATCAAGGCTGTAAATATAAAATATTTTTTCTTCGGTAGCTGTAGTTTTAGCCCACATGTTCTGTGGTGAAGCTAACCAAGTTTGTGTCAGTTCCAACCTTTTCAACAGATTACTTTTTTAATTTTTTGAACTGAAACCTAATTTCGTTATGTTACCTCCTTACGATCCGGGTTGATATATCTGTTAAGGTAGTTAGCTCTCCTCATATACTCCATCTTCGAATTTCCCGTTTTATCCTCACTTCCGCACATTTAGTTGAAAGATTCTTCCTACCTCTCTTTTAATTTATTTTAAATATTTTTCGTACTGAAAAGGAAATTCCATATTTTCTTCCAGCTTCACAGTAGTTCATTCCGTGGCCAACATCACGTTTTACTCTAGTAATAATGTCTTCGGAGTACATGTTTTCAACATGAAATTTCACACAACGACTCATTTAGAAATTATATAGGCATGTACATTTATTTGTCCATTAATATTATTCAAAGATTGGTGGTTAATCCTCTGCAAAGATTTTAAAAAAACATTATCAATGTGATACATTTTCAATAAACAGTTATGTCCCCACTGCTTAGCATTGTGGATCTTTATTAAAAAAGAAATTGTGCCCTTTTTTTTGTCCAGTAGTGTAAATTAAAAATGTTGGTACTCAGTCGATGCACAATTTGATGCTCAAAAACTTCTTTTTATGAGCTTTTTCTTTTACTGAACTAATTTACAAACAGCAACATCATTTATGTATCATTTTTGACAAATTTGGTAAAAATCAATGTTCGTTGACCGTGGTCTTCAACCATACCACTTAACTAAACTATTATATTTAGGTACTCATTTGATGCACAATTTAACTTTCTTTAAGTTCTTGAAGTGTTCGTTGTTTTTTTTTTTTATTGGATACACTGTTCAGAAGTCATAGGGTAAAAAAAAAAAACAATCTAAATTTCTTTCAGTCAAAAGTCATCCCGATATGGCTCCTGTTAGCAGTGTACTGAACAGTGTTTCCAAGCAAAAAACATACTCTTTACGAAATTAAAGAACATTTATTCGTGCATAAAATGACCACCTAAACTTAATAATTAGGTAAGTGGTATGTTCGAAAACCACGGTCAACGAACATTGATTTTTATCTAATTTGTTATGAAATTATATGTGTTACTATAAATCTTCTTATGAGGGAAAATCTTCTACTTAACAGAGAACCCATTTGAAGATATAAAATTTATGGAGATATTTTTGGTCAATAAATGATGCTTTACCTATTGTCAGTTGTATACTAGTAGTACTATAGTATACTGTAGTACTATATTAGTAGTATACTAGTATATGTCAGTGATACTGTACCTGTATGTCAGTAGGTCACCAAATACAACTTTCATCTAACTTGAGACTGCTAAATTCTAATTTCTATCAGAACTTGAAGTATCACCTAGCCTCTATTTGCTGACTACTTTATCCTGTCTAATTCAACCAATTTATCAACACCATGAGTAACCTATTGATATTTAGAAAAACAATGCTTATTACTCAAAAACAGTCAACTGGTAATTAATTGCTGTATCAAAGGGCTATTTAACTAGAAAAGTTATTCTGCTTATGTTTCATTGGCTGGAGCCACACTAATGGTTATTAAAGAATAATACTATAATACCTAAATAGATGATAAAGAAAGCTCTGCTATTCATCAAAATGTAATAAAGAAGTTTTTCTTCCAAACTGATCAAGCATTAAATCATTAATCTTATTGTTTTATTTTCCATAAACCTCTAAGTATTAAGACAAACAAATGTTTTGGGTGTGAAATTTTTAAGAACTCACTAATTTTATTTTATCAATATTTGTTTTATTATTCTAATTCTTTAGAAAATAATGATATCTCCAAGTTTTTCATGACATAATACTTACTGTTTATAGGTGATACAGATTCTCTTGACCACTTAGAAATCGATCGCTATGGTATAAAAAGTGAGATGAACGACTCTCCTGTGTGTGATTTTAATGCCACAACTTCTGGAGATATGAAAAAACAAATAATAACTCATGATACTGATGAGAAGTGCTATCAATGTCATCATTGTAATCATAAAGCAGTAACTTTTCAATTGATAAAAAGCCATATAAAGCAATGTCATACCATCGAAAATCCTTATCAGTGTCTTCATTGTGATTATAAAGCAGCAAAACCTCAGTTGATAAAAATTCATTTAAAGGACCATTATACAGGCAAGAGTGCTTATCAATGTCCTCATTGTAATTTTATAGCAAATAGGCCTATTAAGCTAAAAGAACATATTGTGGCCCTTCACGAGGGTAAGAAGCCTTATGGGTGTCCTCATTGTGATTATAAAGCAGCAAGATCTTACTCAATAAACATCCACATAAAGAACCGCCATACAGATCCTGCCAGTCGTAAGTATTATCAGTGTCCTCATTGTGAATATAAATCAATAAGATCTTTTTCGTTAAAAGTACATGTTATGGCCCGTCACGAGGGTAAAAAGCCTTATGAATGTCCTCATTGTGATTATAAAGCAGCAAGACCTTCTTCGGTAAATAGCCACATAAAGTACCGCCATGGAGATCTTACCGGTTACAAGTCTTTTCAGTGTTCTCATTGTGATTATAGTGCAGTAACTTCTTCAACTTTGAAAAAACATGTAATAGCTCGTCATGTTGCGGAGGAGCCTGTTCAAGCCTTATCAAGAAGTCTTACCAATCACAAGTCTCATCAGTGTCCTCATTGTGAATACAGAGCATCAAGAGCTGATAATGTAAAAACACATGTAGCGGCCTGTCACGAGAATAAGAAGCCTTTTAAATGTCCTCATTGTGACTATAAAGCGGCGAGGCAGTATCTGATAACGAGCCACATAAAATACCGTCATAGTCATGAGTCTTATCAGTGTCCTCATTGTGATTATAATGTAGGAAATCCTCTAACTTTGAAAAAACATATATTGTCTCGTCATACAGAGGAAAAGCCTCATAATTGTCCTTATTGTGACTATAAATCGATAGGTCCTATAATGGTAAAAAGGCATATAATGGCCCGTCATACAGGTGAGAAACCTTTTCAATGTTCTCAGTGTGATTATAAATCAGTAACTTCTATATTATTAAAAAACCATATAGAGGCTCATCATAAAGGGGAGAAACCTTTTCAATGTCCTTATTGTGGTTATAAAGCGTCATTAGCTCACTTAATAAAAAGGCATATAAAGGACTATCATAAAGTTTAGAAAACTTAAAGGTATCAATTTTTGATAACATAGAAGTAGTAATAAGGCGAAAAAGTGTATAAATCACTATAAAAAAGGTGAGAAGGTATGTGAATTAAGCGCGAGCTATATGAAAGTCATTTAAAGTGTTTATTGAGACATTAAAAAACAGGATGAAAATTATATATTTTGCTGAATATGATCGTATTAAGTTCCCTAGTTATTCATGCCTTAGCTGCTGAAGCAGAGATTAAAGGAGAAATTAACCTCACCATTAGGATAGGGAATATATGATGACTAATGGGCTTAAGCTATTTAAGGCTCAGAAAGTGAGAATTACAAAAAAAGTTATAAAACATAAGTAAAATTAGCCTTATTTGCTTATAAATTTGTATAAAATTAAAAGTAATATAATTATTAGTTCCAATGCCTTAAGATATTACCAGCAACAAATTTCTAATAAAGTGTTGCTTATGTGAGAGGAAAGGCATCTAAAATTAATAATGATGTAACTTCTAATAAAATTTTTAAAATATATTATTTTATTTTTGGTAATTTTTATTTATCCTCTAGAATTCCTTTATACACATGATTGCCATCATTTTTCAATCTAAACTTAAGAAAGGAGATATTAATTGAATAACATAGTCCCTAGTTATATGGTTCCTTTAAGATATAAAGAGTCTATAAGGGTCTCCATGGAATCAAGTCCCATGGTTTAAAATTAATTTGTCTATCTATATATTAATAGATTTTAATCAAATCTGAAATGATTTACGCTTTGGCGTTCGAATTCCTTAGCACAATATCATAAATTAGAACTAAGACAAAAATAGGGAGGAGAGCCTCCTAAGCAGATTGATGAGTCTCCCACAAAAAGAATCAAAGTGAGAAGCTTCTCCGCTGCCACCAGCGGGCCAAGATCTCTTCATCATGCTATAAATGGTATTCGGAAGATGGATGTGTTCACCATGTAACTTCCTTTGCGAAAATGCATTCAGAAAAGAACTTTTTATATGGAGGTGTAGAATAAAAAGATTATTTAATGTTAATAAACCAATTATTTATTTTATGTAATATTAAAAATAAAATAAGCATATGTAATAAAATATCACTATTTCAATAAACACTAGTAGATACATTCTCCAGAGGGTCAGATATATTTCAAAAACTATTGTAATTGTAAAATGGCAGAAACCATAATTTATTTTATCAACAAGATATTGGTAATTTTTATTATATCTAGGCACTAAGCACTAACGGTGCAGTTCGTCGCTACAACAAAAAAAATTCAATGCCCAAGAGTATCACTTCATCATTTAGGCGATGTTACCTCAACTAAATAATAAAAATAATCAGACTTACCTGTTGTGGGAGCTTTCCACCACCAAGGATCACTCCTGAAATAAGTGGAGATAGCATTGCTGAGAGGAAGGAATATCGGAAAACTAATTGGATTAAGCACAAACTTTGTCATTTTGACCAATGGTACATTTCACAGGTTACAACCACCTATCGGGATGAAACAAAATTATTTTTTCCTCAATCTAATATACTGACTATAGAACAAAAAAAAAAAAAATTGTTTTTATAATTGCTGATACAAGGTTAAACTAGCTTTAAAATTTTAATTCTAAATCATTACATATTTTAAAGATAATATATAAATTTATTGATGAAAATAATAATTAGATAGGAAAATGAGTTCATTGAACTGCAAACTGCTGAGTTGAATATTCAAAATGTCGAATTACACATTAAAACAATATGTAAAGGTATGTAAGGTAAGGTAAAGGTAAAGGTGTATAAAACAATTTGTTAATATTAACTTTTTAATTGCAAAATCAATATAAAATTAGATGAAGATGGATGAATCAATGCAAAATATTTAGAGATTGGTATAGTTTTGTACAAAATCACGAATGTCACTGCTAATTTCATCTCTTAACTCTAATTGCTGCTGAAGTTGAACATATCCAACTGCAATACCACCTGCAGTTGGTGTAGAAGGATTTGAACAATAACTGTTCCGCAAATCATATGATATGGAATGCAATTGATAAGATGGAGTCGGAAGGTAAAAGCTAGCATGTCCGATCGAAATAAAATATTAATATAGCGGTGAGTCAAAGAGACTTCCACACAAGGCCTGTTATAATTTCTCACTTTATTTGCAACATATTCCCCAAATGCTGAATGCTCATCTCTGGTAATAACAATTTAACAGAGACTTTATGCAGTTGACAGATTATGCAAGGAAGTCATCATTCTTTCGGACGCGTTTAGGAGGGTTTCATGGGGTTTTGAATGGTGGGTGGTCATCACGTTCCACATATACATTTAGAGCTTCTTGTTCCTGAGTATCATCAGTATCCAACAAGATGTTCTGAAACAAATTATAGAATTATTGGGTTGCCCGAAAAATAATACAGGATTTTAAAGGAAGGAGATGGTCCGGGGTTGCGGTCATAAATAGGCTAAATAGTGGTAAAACTATTTTATTGAAAGCCGACGTTTCGACCTGACTTTGCAGGTCTTCATCTGGGCTAGAACGGACACGATACAAAAAGATAGAGAATTTTGGCAGTTACATAATATTTAGACATAATTTATAAACAATGTGAATAAGCTTATTAAAATTATAAACAGTAAGTACGATAAAATATGAACAAAGTAAGCTGAGTAACAAGATCCTAAACTGAAGTAAATAGATGCTAACAATTGTTGTAGTGTAATATATAATAAATGAAAATGTGAATATACTTCTACAAAATCTACAGGAGAGATTGAAAGAAAAGTGAAAAAGGATATAATATGAAATAATAAACATAAAGGAATGTGGAGAAAGAAAAGAAAAAGGAAACCAAAATTAGATAAATAAGTAAATAAAATTAGAGACTTACAGGTGTGTTCATCTAGGAGTTTCACTTAGAACTGGAAATTTTATTTACTTATTTATCTAATTTTGGTTTGGTTATAAATTATGTCTAAATATTATGTGCCTGCCACAATTCTCTATCTTTTCGTATCTTGTCTATTCTAGCCCTGACGAAGACCTGCAAAGTCGGGTCGAAACGTCGGCTTTCAATAAAAAAGTTTTACCACTATTTAACCTATTTATGACCGCAACCCTGGACCATCTCCTTCCTTTATAATGCAACGGTCAACTATTAAATATTCAATACAGGATTTTGAGTTTTCTTAATAATATTTCTCTATATAACGAACTGTTTACCCTGACTGTATTATTCATTCGTATGAATGTCAACACTTTTAATCCTCTTCCCAATGATAATGTTTGTTTACTTCTGTAGCATTTTGCTGCTTAGAAATAATTCAGTATTTACTAAGATGTCAACGCGTGATTTTTGTACAATTTTGTTTTACAAGTTTAAACGGCCAAAATGGAGCTCAGACGGCCAGAAACATCAATCAAGTCGGAGGGGGGCGAGAGCAGCATTAATGAGTGCACTGTTCAGCAGTGGTTCAAAAAGTTTCAGGAGGGAGAGTCCAGCATTAAAGATAAGGAAGGACTTCCTCTCTTGATGACTATGTTCTGCAGGCTTTGGTGGAAGAAAACCCCAAAACGACTGTTCAAGAACTTGTAAGGAAACTTAACCTTAGCAAATCGACCGTCGATGACCATCTCAAGGAAATTGGAAAGGTAAAAAAGCTTAAAAGTTGGATTCCACATATATTAAACGAAAACACTTCTTTGCCGAAACGAAAATGACCCCTTTCTGTCCAGAATGTTATTTGTGATGAAAAGTGGATACTTTACAATAACAGTAGATGTTCTGGACAGTGGCTCGACAAAGAAGAAGTAGCAGAACATTTTCCAAAGCTCCCAACTCATCAAAAAAAGATGATGGTTACTGTTTAGTGGGCTTCATTTGGTTTGATATACTACAGCTTCTTAAATCCTGGAGAAAACATCAATATCAAATCGTATTGTAACAAAATTAGTGTAATGCATCAGAAATTGGCAATAATGAAGGGATCCATTTTGTTGCATGACAACTACCGGTCACATGTCACGTTTGACGTCACAAAAACTGTTGGAGCTTGGATATGAAACTCAGCCACATCTGCCCTATTGCTCAGACCTCGCCTACAGATTATCATTTTTTTAGACACCTGAACCACTACTTACTTGACAAAAAGTTTAATGGACAAAGGGAATTAGAAAATGCGTTTTTAGAGTTTATCAATTCTAAAGACAGGCAATTCTATTCTGAGGGAATGGAACAGTTGCCAACATGTTGGCAAAAATGTATTGATAGTAGTGAAGACTACTTTGATTAAATAAAACAGTTATAAATCTTTCTTTTTAAACCAAAATCCTGCATTAATTTCAACTAATTGAGGGATAACCCAATATTTCTTTATTAAAAATACCACATCATTTCCTCAGATTCCACTATGAAAAGTAACTGTAAAACATATATTCAGAATTTATAATTGTGCTTTGTATTTTTACTTTCACTTACCTATATATGAAATATATAGTAACAAAAATACACATTTTGAGGTTTCCTGAGTCCAAATAATCAAGTCCCACAAAATGGTCTCCATGTGTGTGTGAGTGTGAACAGTCTACCTCAAAAATGAAAATTCATATTTAAGTATAGACCTGGGACATTACATCAACTCTTCTAAAAATCAGGCAACCGGAAGTGGCACTTTATATCAATGACGTTACCAAGTTTTACAATTTTCTCAAAAACAGCTCTAACGATTTTTATTAAACTCGGTTTATCAATGTTTAATTAAATGGTCTTTAATATCTTTTAGGTCTCATCCCCATTGATTTCGCTTAACAGGGCTCAAATGTCCAATGTTCACAATGTCTTCCTCTAGTGTACCTTTAATTTAGTTTATATTAAATAATTAACTATCCTCATTATTAGAAAATAGGAATATAGCTTAATATAACTTTTGAAAGAATTTGATAATTGAATAACGAAGAAAAAAAGAAAAATGTTTATCTGTCTAAAATGAATCTTCGGAAATAATAGTCAGAAGGTATATGTATAATATATCGCTGGAAAGCAGAGAAAAATAATATCTAATAGATAAAGTTGTAGAAGATAACAGAGAGAAACAAAAAAACAAAAATAAAAATTTCTGAAAACTAACATAATTTAACGTACGTAAATCACATGTTTTCAAAGAAATTAAATGAAATTTTCTTACTATATGAAAACTTATAAATTCTTTTTTTATTTAAAAAACACCGAATGACATTGTTTAAAATACTATTTCATTGTACTTGTGTGAAATATAAAAATATTTTCTGGATATGTTTATAACTTTAAATATATTTACTATAGTTTAACTGAAAGTTGTCTGTTACGCGCACCAGATTTTTTACATTTATAGGAACATATTATAATATTTATATGTGATATTGAGTTAACATTTTGATATTGATTGTTGATAAAATTAAATAAATAAATAAAATCTTATGGGTTGTCCTGCTCCTACAACGCTGCCGAAATATGCCTCTCAAAAATTTTGATGATGAAACCCTCTTCTGGGCAACGCCGAGGGAATGTGTCAGTCCAGAAGAATGAATACTAATAAAATGAAGGTAAGTTTTTTATTGAAATATTCTTTATTAACTTAAGTAGAGGTTTAGAATCTATATTTGGCTTACCATTCAGAACAAGAACTCTGGTTTATTATTATTATAATAAATTCTGGTTTATTCAGTGATTTTGCAACTGCTGGGAGAGGGGGAATAAGTAAACTGGAAATTAATAAAATCACAGAGTAATATAAAACTGATTGTATTTATACAATGAAAATTAACAGTAAAACATTTATAAGTACATAAAAAACCAAGAAAATCACGCAACTAAATAAAAATGACTAAAAGTACCATTATTTGTATAGAAAATTAAGTCATTAAACGTAATAATTTATAAATTTTCATAAATATAATCTGAGGAGTCATGTTGGATTAACTCAAGGGTCTCCAAACTACAGCCTGCAAACTTTTTTTTTGTTACATAGTAAAATTTTAAAAAATTATAAAATTTAGCAAAATACTAGATTACTAAAACATTACTTAATGTTTTTTTCCCTTCATCAAAGCTCATTTCACAACTGAAGTGTCATTTATTGAACAAGATTTTTTTTTCTCCACAAGCCATGGCCCGCGGAATTTAAGTGGAGGTCTCAATGCGGCCTGCAAAACTTAATGCAGATCTCAATGTGGTTCACGGACCAAAAAGTTTGGAGACCCCTGGAATAACTGATAGTCATGAACGACCTCATCTATGAGGAACAGAACTTTTTGTTTATACTTCCTCAGTTGTAGGTCATTCGACTTCATTAAATCCGGAACAAGACTGAGGAGGAAATGTTTAATTCCTTCCTTCCTCTTGTCCTTCTCATTCAAAGCTTCAATGGAGTTGGTTAATTTGGCTCTCTTTGCTTTAAAATAAGCCGTCAGGGCTTCTTCTGCCGTGTTTCCTTTCTCTTTCCTCTTCCTTACTGGTAGGCCATGTGAATCTCTTGATGTTGAAGATTGTGGTGTCTCACTTATTTCTTCCTGGCTGGTTGCTGGGGATGACGCCGATTGGGAAATGTCATACCCAGGCTGTTCCAATGTCATTTTAGAGTCCAAGACTTCTTCCATCTCTTCAACATGGTAACAAGACCGGCAAATTACTGAGACTGTGATGTTCTGCATAGAAAAATAAATAAATAAACAGAGGGAATTACCTAATACCCTTTGATCTAATCCACTTCGAATTCCACTTGAGTTCTTGATAATGATACCTCATTAAATTAAGTGTATGAAATTGGTTGAAAAAATAATGAAATTGTTTTTAAAAAATTATGAAATCGCTTGAAAAAATTATGAAATTGGTTGAAAAAATTATAAAATTTTTACATGTTTGCACAGAAAGAAATATATATAACTGTGAAATAAAAGTGGAATATAATTGGTAACATTTAATTCTTACAAATATTTGGAAGGTTGATGGCTAAGGAGATGGAAAAACAATTGGTGGATAAAGAATCGCAAAACAAGGTATCACACATTATAAATGATTTTTCAAAATAAACTGTCCTATGAGAAGGAATATACAGGTTTGTGGACGGGGATCTCGTGTTGGAGGAAGGATAAAAGAACAGGAAGTAAACAAATCAAGAAGGTAAAAGGTTTTAGGTTGTAAAGATTCGAAAAAGGAAAACACCGACAGGCTCAGCACAGATATTATATACAATACAATGAAAAATGCATCCATGACAAATATAACAGCATCAAGAACATGTCTATATCAACAACAAAAATAGTTTGCATATCAATTCTTGGTTAAAAATTAAAGTACTAATATTAGTTAACATTAAACATATGTTATATCATATCAATAAAATTGTTAAAAATATAAATAAATATCAACTACTTAAGATATATATACACTAGTCATCTTATAAAATGTCAATATTATAAAATCATGAAACAATATTAAAGCAAGCTCAACTGTAGTTCCCATTCTCTAATTGTATTTTAACCCTTATCAAACAAATATATAAAATACTTCAATACAGTTTCATGATTTTATAATGTTGATAACATTTTATAAGATAACTAGTGTATATACATTTTATGTAGTTGATATTTGTTTATATTTTTAGCAATGTTAAATTTAAGTCGATTATATATATATATATATATATATATATATTTAATGTTAATTAATTTTGATACTTTAATTTATAAACAAGAATTGTTATACAAGTTATTTTTATTGGTATAGATATGTTCTTGAAGCTGTTATATTTGTCATGGATGTATTTTTCAATTGCTTTAGTTGAGATAGATGCATTTTTCATTGTTCTGTATGTTTTATTTTGTCTTCGGGCTCAGGACCGGGGTGGGCAGATGATTGACCGTCCAGTAGCTTAATACGTGTGCTAGCGGACAGTGCTGAGGCTGTCTGTGTGTCCCTGGCCTGAGGTATCGAGGCTCTATTTTAAAAGTAGGTTGAATTTTAATATAATTGTTATTTGAAACAGATGGAAGCATAATTGTGCACCAATTGAGCTATTGTTTGTTCTAGCATTGAAGAGGATCCTATTGTTAACTATAAAAAAAAGGAGGATCAAAACATTGAATAAACAACAGATAAATGAACATTTTGTAGTTTATTGAATAATTATTAAGTGACCTAATTCCTAATTTAAATAATTATATTAAAATATTATAGTAAGCCAAAATTTCTAATAATTTTTTGGGAAATAAAGATGTTCGATTGGTAATAGTTGACAAAAATATTCTCCACCCACTAATCCAGAACCAATATATATCATAGAGATTAGAAAACAATTATATATCTTATTTAAAAAAGTGTTACTCAGGAATTATTATTGTTGTTAATTGTAAAAATTTTGTTCAAAAATAATATTCAGGATAATGTTCAATGATCAGGATTTGATTTTTATCACTTATGATCAAAAATAAAAATCATCAAATGATGTTTTTAAAATTCCAGATAAAAATTTTGATAAGATTCTATTTTTATTTTTTTAATCGATTTCAATCCCTGCTTTCAACTATTTACTCAGGATTCTTAATATCTTAGGCTCTAAACCTAACCTCATGTTAACTGCTCTATTATTCTATAAAGATTTATTTTGGAATAATTAAAGAACATTACAATACTATTATTACTCACCATCATCGGAGATAAACTGATCTTCTTTCTTCACCTGAACCAGTCCATCTACCAACATAAATATAATATTTTAAACAAGATAATCAATTAAATATCTAATTACACAAATAAATGATTCAAGGAAACCTAAGGTGAAAACTAAATAAAATTGTGATAAGTTAAAAAAAAATTAATTAATCCAATCCTTGTTCCTTAGGGATTTTATTCCTTCTTCTTCATCTTTCGATTCAGTACTTAACCCACTTGCATATCCCCACTCCCGATTTAATCATGACCTACACAATCAGTTTCTCAAGAATTACGAACTGCTTTAATTCATCACAATCTTTTTTTTTACTTTCACTGACCTATAGATATCTTCCAATATCTCACTAATAATATACAGTACGGAAAAGTATTGCAATCGTGAAAATTTCCCAATCTGAGATTTGAACAGAAATAAATGTTTTGAGGTCCCCTGAGTCCAAATAACCAATATCTGCAAAATGGTCTGTGTGTGTATGTGAACAGTCTAGCTCAAAACTAAAGAGTCATACTCATCTGAAATTGCGTATTTAAGGCTTGTACATGCCAGGGGTGTTACAGGAAATTTTTTTCAAAATTGATTAACCGGAAGTGTCACTTTATATCATCGATTTCACAATTTTCTCAAACGATTATGATTAAATTCATTATATCAGCGTTAAATTTCTTCCTCTAAACCTTTTTTTATTTGAAATAATTAACCATTTCACGTTTTCAACTGATATAAAAGATGGTTCAATATAATGAATGAAGAAAATTGATAGGTAAATAAAGGAGGAAGAAGGGTTGGAAGATATATAAAAACAACCAGGAGTGACTGACTTTTGCTAATCCTCTTCCTTTACAGATCCCAATACCCCTATGTACGAGGCTTTCATATTGTTAGTTTAACATTAATGTATCACTTATCCATAATTTTTATAAAAGGTTTTCACAGGAAATGTTAAGGATCTACCAATATAAACCTAATTAATGTTTCTGATAAAACTCAGAATTCTTTAAAAAGATATATTTTTCCTCACAATCAATAATATTATTTGATACTACACACAGTCATAAAAGGAAATGGAAAGTGATTCAAACATAAATTATCAGATTCGATGGGCAGGAAAAATCTCGTAATTAATTATTTTAAATGAAGTTATACTTTGATTTTCCTACAAATGAAAATACCTATCTACTCTGAGGTTGGTAAGTGAAATATGTGTGATGCACGCACCACACCAGATTTTTTAAAAATATTTCAATATTCTTTCTACTATTTATTTAATACCTCAGATTCTTGACTCCATCCCAAGGTGATTGGTTTATTACACTTAAATAATAAAACAATATAAATTCATCAGTACAACGATAACATTAATTAATGCTTGAACAATAAAAAAAATATTGCTCACCATTATCGGGGATAAGCAATTCTTCTTCTTCCTTCACGTGAACAAGCCCGTCTGCTGACATAAATATAATATTTTAAACAAGATGACAATGTCTCACTGAACTTAAAACCACTTGAAAAGAAAATTAGAGTTCACAAATAAAAAGTGAAATAAATTTGTAATAAGTTATTATTTTTGAGAAGTTAACTTACTAGAATAAAAAAAATTAAAATAAAATGAACGACTTACAAGGAAATTCAGTTTCATCAATCATTTCTTTTTTTATTGAATCACTGGAGTAATTAATATCTGAAAAAGTAAACAACAAATATATAACCAGGACTTGTATCCATGAAAAATTATATTTTGTTAGCATTATTTTTTTTTCAAAATTTTATGTTGCATATTTTGCCAAAATTTGATTTCTGAGCATATTTAAGATTAAAAGGCATAAATAATGCATATTTTAATTAATTAAATTTATTTCAGGCGAAGAAATTATTTAATTAATAAAAGTACATGTTAATGGTAATGTACAATAATATTTGACAAGGAGTTAATTATATTTTTAAGTTTTACCAACTATACTTTAAATGATAAAATTATGTTTTACTTTCTGGGGAAACTTAATACATAAGTACTTCTAAAAAAAAAACCAAGGATGAAGTATTTTCTATAATTACAACTATAAACAGTTTGTATAGTTTGACTCCTTTATAAATACATTTAAAATAATGCCTAAAATTGTCTTCTTTTTCTATAAAAATAAATGATTAGGTCTCATCCTTTCATTTGGAGCTAAGAGTAGATGATTATTTGAGATCTCTTAAAAAAAATATATATATACTTTAAAAATGTATGTTATGTTTTTGCAGTAAAATTATCATTTAATTAAGAAAATTCCATAAAAAATAAAAATATACTCCTTTTAAGAGCCTCTCTTAGGAAATGAATAAAATAACATACAAATTATAAGTATGAATAAAAATGTAATAGTAATATATATTCTTTTATTCTGAAATAAAAATTTTTTTAAATGTATTTATGACTCAAAATTGTATCTTAATTATTTTTTTTCACTATTGTGTTGCATGTTGTCATACTTTTTAAGGCATATTTCAATATCCGGGTCCTAGATATTACCTAAACTTATTACGAATGGAATCTTTAATCAACCATATGAACCAAATGAATTTTAATAATCGTCACCAAGAGAGTTTATGTAAAAAAAAAAAGTTTAAAACTCTACTGGTCCTTTTACTTATGGGAGGCTTTAATAACATTGCAGTTTTCAACATCTGCTTGCTATGCTTGCCTATTTTCACTATTTTTTTTTATAACAGGATTTTTCCAATGGCTTGATTTCTACCTGAGTCATAACTAATACACTAAACTATTTTTTTTCCTAGCAGGCTAATAAGGTTGTAAACCTCAAAATTAACATATCCTTCACAATACTAAAAAGTGTGATTATAAAATATCCTACCAATTAGATCCATTGTGTTTTTGACAATTAAATGTTAAAAGAATATAACCAAACCATTGACATTATTTTGAAAACAAATGTAAGGTATTAATGTTACTCCAAAGAGATAAGAATAAGGAGACAACAAGTCATGTTACATTTAGTTAGTCTACACCCAAATACCAATGCAAAATAATCATACAAATCTATAAAACAATCGAACGTAAATAATCAAACATTAAGAAGAAGAAACGATAAAAGTAAAGATTCATAAGAAATGTAAAGGCTACGAAAATAGCCATGAAAATCTGTTGAGACAAACTCTTCTATTAATCGGCTTGCGAGGATATTTGTAGCAATTGTTCATTGTCTTACAAGCCATGATTATCTGAAAATCTATCCACATAAAATAATTGATTAACAGAAATGTCCGTTTTGTGATCGAAAATAAGCTGATTGCAGCAACTAAAGATATGCACTTTCCTAAAGGACGATGTAGCTTAAACGATTACCATCGTACCGCTCATTAATACTGGTGTAATAGAACCAAAATTGATCTAATTCCATAAGGAAGATAAAATATATATATATATATATATATATATATTTTATCTTTATATATATATATATATATATATATATATATATATATATATATATCACTGGCATCATTCTTTCTCATTGTGTATTAACTTGCGGCTGGCCTAAGCGTATAATGTTATATAAGTTGTGTATGCCCCTAAGGCAGTGTACTTGTATTATTGCTTTACAGCAGACTTATCAGAACATGATCAGACCTTGTTGCAACATTTTTCGATGGTATTGCACTAGTAAAAACCCAATCATCGCATCTCTCTCATATAGGACAATCTTGCCGATGTTTTAAGTTCGGCTACTAGCAAGAAAGTGAAAACGAACGAAACGAAAAGTGTATTAATTGTTTTTACACTAAATAATTATGTGTCCACAGGTATTCTTCAATAATGTTCCAATCCCTACTTCAGAAGAAGTACGTCATTTGCAACTTTGCCAAGACAAGTGTCTAACATAAACAACTCATACCACACTGAAATGAAAATAACTCAACAAACGATTTCGACTGTTATCCAGGCTACTTTACAGACGCTCCAAATTATCCTTAACTAACAAACTTACTATCTACAAATTAATTATAAAACCTTTATGAACTTACGGTGTAGAGCTATGGGGCACAGCGAAAAAATGTAATACAGAAGAAATTCGTACTTGTTTTGCGATTAATTGCAGATACACCTTTTTACGTGGCCAATGACTTGTTACCCAAGGAATTGGACTACTAAACTGTTTCAGACACTGACACACAATACTATAAAAAATTCCACGAGAGACTGACTTACAACATGAATCCATTAGCCCTTAACACTTAATTCCACGACGAACAGATACATTCCACCCCGATAACTTTTAAGGCGGTGGCCAAGAGTTTCTAACTTAACTCTTTAACGGAAGTGCAGATTTGCTTAGTTTGCAAATAGGAAATATAACTATGACAGATTATTATTGAGTTAATAATAAATAAATATTCATTAAATTAATGTTCGTAATAAATAATGAAACTACTTTAAAAATGTATTCGATGAGAAATTTCGTACATTTTATTGATATTTCATTACACAACTGGGTAAAAAGTATTTTAATTATTATTTTACAATACAGTATTTAAAATAGTAAGTACATTGTGCTCTTAAAATACAGTATATTTTAATCATAAAGTATTTAAATTATTTTCAGAAAAAAGCATTAAATAAAAAATACCAAAGGTTCTTGTTACAACAAAGAAACTCCAAATACAAAATTCTTACGTCTCATAAATTAGCTTTTTACTACTAATTCTTTAAAAATAGGTTTATTTTTGCAAGGAAATGAGTTATCAGATTAAAGGACAGTATATTTAATTTATAAAAAAATAATTGGGAATATATTTCTGAACAATTTATCATAGCAGTGACGTTTTGCCAAATTATTTGATTTTCATCATTCTATAAAGTATTGCATAAACTGAATCCTTCCTTTTTTGTTAAAATATCGAAAAAAAAAACATGTTTACACAAAACATATGCAAAGGGAGTTTGCTTGTTTAACAAAATATATTCTACCCTTTTCTATTATAAGACCCAGTAATTCTGTATAGTTATTCTAGGACTTTACAGTTAATGATAATTGTATTACAAATTATTCGACATTGAACTCTACCTTATACAATTTTTAAGCTCAGAGGGGGGAGAATTCTCGTACAAACTATCAGCCTTTTTCATAATAATTTATTTTTTGAATTTAAAGCTCTTAAAATGAAATACATTTTTCGTATTTTAGTATCTTAGACAGAAAATACAAATACTTTTATTCTGTTTCTTATACCTGGATTTGGTGTCTTGATGTTTTCATTTTTATAAATTAAGGCCGTTCTTCCTCCAGGGATGACGTAGGGAAAAGATTAGGACATTATTTAATTGTTCTCAGAAAAATGGAAATGACATTGAATGTGGAGATTTAGTGGAGGACATAATTAAGACTTCAAAATTGGAATTTAAGTCTAGCCGGCAAGAATAAAGACGAGTTGCTCATTTCAGAAGGCCGTTGCCACGCCTCTTCGCCCGCGGAGGTATATATAGCAGAGGGGACTCCAGGCTCCACAATCTGGTGATAGCCTTCGCTATAGACCAATCCTCTTCAAGCAATATGTTCAAGCAGGTAACTTGTCATAATATTATTAATAAATATTAATAATATTATAAAATATTGAGATTCTGAAGATGAATGAAACTTTTTTACTTAAATATGTTCTCAATTACCTAATGTTTCAGCTCTTCCACATCCTCCTGCTGATCGCGGTGGCTCTGGTCGCCTCCTCCTCGGCCAGGGAGTACCCTCCAGGCATCAGCCCCGCGCTCTGCCCGGACTACCCCTTCTGCGACAACCGCCTCATCGCCCTCCACTCCCCGGTGCCATACACAGCTCCAGGCTTCCCCGCCAACGTCAACCCCGCCGGCTGTCCCAACTACCCCTACTGCAACTGAGTGTTATGTCTTCCATTAATTGTTAAATAAAATCATTTTTTTTAAAAACAGAATTTAATTTATGTATATATTACCTATCCTTTAACAATTTATAATTAATTTATTATTACATGGTAGTTGGCCGAGCGAATAATTCGCATAGTATATTGACCAGTGATCAAATGACAAAATAATAAGGAAATAAAACAATGCAACATATCATATGATGGACGAATCAATTATTATTTTCTCAGTAATTTTAATCGACCAAGGAAAAGAAAACTATTTTAAAAATTCGTTTTAATCAACATGTCTACAAATTAAAATTATATCTGCTATAGTAGCCTGGTACGATTTTTTTTTTTTTTTTTTGTTTTGTAAGGAATTTAGTTACCATTCAAATAATCATGAATGCAATATACGATAAAATATATACTTTTTGAGTAATTAAGAAGGTTTATTTCTCTTCATAAATATTTTTTCTGAAATTTAGGGGTGATGTGACTGTTTTCCTCACTTGAAGGAGTAAGAAGTATTTAAAATGATGGCTCAATCAAAGAATTAAATAAGATACGGTGTACTGACAAAAACATACCTTTGAGAAAGAATATGATAAGATAAGATTCCCATGACAACACTTCAACTTATGTGAGTCTGTTTAGCTGCAACTCCTCATCCTTGCATTATTTCGAAAATGGAGCATTCTTTGGAATTTAAAACGCAGCAACTTAACCGGGCCTGGATATCCGCATCGAAAAAACCAAAATGGCCCGTCTAGTTCCACCGACTCACCACCGTTCTAGGATTGAAGGCTAGCGAAATTTTCGTATCGATTATATTTATTTTAGAATGAAAAACAAAAGCGGAGAGTACGATTTACTAACTCATTTCCTTCTTCTTTTAGTGAGGTCTGCAGTTTTTTTAATAAGTTGAATTGCTGCATCCTGAGTGTATAATTTTACTTTTTATGCTTCGTCTGAAGTGACTATTGAAGTACCGAGGAAGAAGAGGTTGATAATCCAATACCTATTCCCAATATCCCAATACCCAATACTAAGACAATGAACATGGAAATTACATAAAAGATTCTTTTGCCATTCCATTACCATTGACATTAACTCCTCCAGCTTTCACTCCATCTGAGGTACTACAAGAAATTCCGAAATTTTTCAAAAGGAAATCCCCTAATTATGATCGGATCTTTGCTGAGCTACTCTAGCTTATGCTCAGAAAAGCGAAAGTCTGTCTAACAACTATATTCAACGCCATATTAAGGACGATATTTCCATTTCGATGGCATTCATAAGTGCTAATGATTCAAAAACCGAACAAAAAATTCAAATAGCCCATCTTCAATTCATACAGACCCATTAGTCTACTTCCGATTTGCTCTAGAATTTTTTTTACCTTTATTTCATATCCTCACCTGTTAATTGTACTTATTAACAATCAGCAGATGTGCTAGCTAAATAATGAGATGAAAAAAAAACCTAAAAATATTTGAAAAAAAAAATTACAGACGCATGCACAATGTGTTGACAGACAACCGAATTCTACTTGATTACCAAGTTGGATTCAGTTCGCTACATTCAACCATTCAAGAACTCAGGGGTGCCCAGAAGGGGGTTTCGTGGTGCAAGTTGCGCCATCAATATTTGTGAGGGAGGCACTTTTTGACGTGGTTTTCAACTCCTTCGAGAATTAAAAGACAAGTAGAAGCATGGAACAGACCGCAGGATGTGTAATTGTATATAATCTATGAATATTTAAATTCTACTTTCGCTTGCACTGTTTTAAAGAATCTTCTTTTCTTCGATAGCTCTACATTTCGGGATGGGATTTGGCTTTCTAAACAACAGTTCTCCAGATGTCCCTGCCCTTAATCTTTTCCCTACAGTTCATAACTCTTAACCGCCTGAGGTCGTCCTCCGCATCCTCCAACCATCTTCTTCTCGGCCTTCCCCTTCCTCTAACACTACAAATTCTTCCTTGGAGCATCTTTTTTGGGATTCTCTCATCTAGCATTCTAAGAATGCATCCCAACCATTCGTCTCGCTGTTATTCTATAAAGTTCACAATTTCACTATGATTGAATAAATCATATAGTTCATATAGTAGTATCATCTTTGGGGTTGGCAAAAGGACCAATGAGCCCACTTGCTGGACTAAGTCCCCCCAACAGTACCAGTAACGCGAAAAAAAATTATTAAAAAACCCCTAAATGTTCAACCTTTTGATGCGTTTAAATGCCCCTAAAACCTTAAATCGACCTGTCTTAGCTGACAGACGAGCATTTCCGTAATACCTAAAAGTAGCTTTTTAGGTATTAAATATTACCTATTATTAGCTATATATTAACCTAAATATTAGCTTGTTAGGTTAAATTTCGGTCATGGCGCCAGGTCTATATCATAAAGAGGTATTAACCGTATCAATTTCATTTTTTTCATTTAGTCCCTTTAGTGATATTCAGTATCGAACAACGACGAAAATGATTTCTGGCCATTTTTGAAAATTCGTATTTATAAAAGTGTAGTATAGTAGGTGTGATGTAGCATAGTATAGTGTATTACTATGTAGCATATAGTATAGTCGTAGAATGAAAGTTGAGACTCTTTTCGTTATTACACTTTTGCAGCTCTATAAGTCTCATTTTAGATCTATTTTCATGATTTTTTTCAAACAATTTTCCTTCTTTTTAGCTGGTGTATTGAAAGACAACAATTTAGACAAAATACTCAACATCATTTCATTTTTATTTTGGTTTGATAAATACAATATTACCGGAGTTATAGGCATTTCCTCAAAACTCGTTTTCACTCGAAATTCAAAATGGCCGCTTAGGAAATACTGTGAGCCTTTTAATTTTTTTAACTATGGCTTTGAACTCCCAAATAAATAAGGAATAATGTCCAGCAACATAACATGGTCTGGGCGATTTCAAATGGATTGACTTAATATCAAATATAATAAGATTAAAATTTAAGGATATAACAAAATCAAATACAAGGACATTCAAATTTCGAATGTTCCTAATACTATTGAAGTATGATTTACTACTATTTAAGCACTTTTTTTAATTAATTTTTTTTTTTTATGACTATCATCCAGAATTATCTCTCACCCCTATTTCAAAATATATTCAACTTTCCTGTATAATTAAATCCACTTATTTTGTACAAAAGAGAACCTTCTTGTATGAAGTGTAATATGTAATATTAAATATAACATATTTAGCATATTAAACTTTAAGTCTTTTTCCTGCATATCTATCCAGGAATCACCCCGGATTGAAATTTAGGGAGTTCATATCTCCTTTGCCTTACTCCGATATCGAAGTGGGTTGGGTCTACTATTTCTTTCCATCCATATACGAAGGTTATGTATTATTGGTTATCAGCAAAGTAAAAGCACATCTTCTTCGTTGAGCCTTTAGATACCTACCCTCAGTGCCTCAATTGCAGCGCACGTGGTGATCGCATACTCGGTAGTTTCCGGGACACCACTACTGGAACATAGAGTATCGAAATCCTGTCAAAAACTGTAAAACTTGGCAGCTATTGAGATCCAGTAGTCAGGTATGACCCCTCTGGCAGCAAGTCAAGGCAGGGCGATGGCAAAATACTTCCTTAATGTACTATTTCGCTGGTACTGCCCACAGTGCCAACTATTAGCAGTTGGGCACTGCTTTATTGGAATAGAAAGGAGGCACCGCTTGGCAGTCTAGGTATGACGTCATATGCTTCCTTCTGACAGCTACTGAGGCAGTGAAGCTGTTGGCAGTATGTTATCATGTCAGGGAAGAGTTTTACTGATAACCTAGGTTTCATTTACATTTACATTACATCAAGCAAAATCATCTCTCTTCTCTATTTCAAAATATTTTCAATATCTGTCTTTCTATATATCTAAACCCATTAAGGGACAAGTGATCAATATATATATTAAAAGACATTACATAGAAAAAAAAATGATTTTATTTAACAACTAATGGAAGACATAAGACTCAGTTGCAGTAGGGGTAGTTGGGACAGCCGGCGGGGTTGACGTTGGCGGGGAAGCCTGGAGCTGTGTAAGGCACCGGGGAGTGGAGGGCGATGAGGCGGTTGTCGCAGAAGGGGTAGTCCGGGCAGAGCGCGGGGCTGATGCCTGGAGGGTACTCCCTGGCCGAGGAGGAGGCGACCAGAGCCACCGCGATCAGCAGGAGCATGTGGAAGAGCTGAAACATGAAGTACTTGATCAAGGAAACAGAATACAAGTGTTATCCTAAAAAAACTTATAATAAATTAAGACTAGTATACCTCAGTAAGAACTCTCACATTAAATAATAAAGATTGTTTCATACACAGTATACTGATCAATCCATATGGACAGAGCTCTTATATTAAATTATTCCATCATTATACAAACATATCACTTTTTGTCCCTCCTTTTTCACAACACTAGTCATATACACTATCACTAATATACAACATTAGACAATTACCAATATGACATATACATTTTCCGAAAAAAAGTATTCGAATGCTAGAAATACAAGACTACGAGTATATACTCGTAAATCGCACACATATATCAACGGAATTCCATGAATGTACATAAAAGATAAGACAAAGCCAAAAATTAAAATTGAATAAATAAATAAACAGATAAATAACAAAGGGCGTCCTTTTTTTTGGTGGGGGAAGGGGTTCTCCCCTTCCTCGCCGGGGTTTTCCCGGGCCAGGGGAAGTGGGCGGGGATTTAAAAGACTCCCTCGGCACCGGGACGCGAACTCGTGACTATTTTTATATCATTAGATTCATATGTCAGGTTGCCGGGTAACGGCGGTGCTGTTAGCTTTAGCCCATTCGGTCAGCACGCCCACCAACAAAGGGAGTTCTGAATAATATTCTCAGCCTATATCGCAAGCTCCCCAACATCAACACCTAGTTCCTTGACGAAGCTCCTTGCTCTTTTTGGGATCGTTCCGCGAGATCGAAACCAGAGGACTCTCTTGGTGAACTCTCTCTCCGAAAGTCTCATGGAAATTCTCTTTTAGAAAAGGGATAGATTTATCTTATAAGGTTTTCTTTTCCCT